CAACCACAACTCTACACTACCCACTCCCTCCCCCATTTTAACGTATTGTTCCTCAAGCTTAACACAAAACACTGACATTGCATGACAGATATTTTAAGTGAAAGGTAAAAAGGAAAAGATTACAGAATCTAGAAATATGAGAAGAATTAAGAAGGATTTTGAAGTTATTATAATATTCCACACTAAATGAAAATATAAAGGGCCCTACATAGCCTGGTAAAATTTTAGTTAAATTCCAGAATGTTAAAGACAAAACCATTCGCAACAATTGAATATACCTAATAATAAAAAAATATAAAAATTCAGACAGACCAGTTCAAAATATTATTTCTTAGATTCTTTCTAATAAATCAATCAATCATATAACAATAATATAAATAGGATTAAAACTTACTTTTTAATATAGGACAGTATTAGAATATTTCTCATTTTACGTTTTCTTTGGAAAATGTTATATAATTTGATATAACCGTTTGATCTGATTAAATATATTTCAAATGTATTGACTATTTATTAAAAACAATAAATACTTGATGTCTAGTTTCTATATTTAGACCTGTTAAATCTGTATTTAAAAAGTTGTGCAATCGTCTTATCAATTTGAATTATTATGTTATTATTTTTAATCGCATTAAATTGTGACCTAGTTTTCGAAAATAATTTATTTTTCTAAGATTAAACTTCACAATACTTAAATTTCTATTAAAAAGTTTATTAATAATGGAGTGAAGAACTTTATGAGAATAATAGCATTACCTTCTTGAATAACACGTTGGGAACAACTTGATAAAGTAAACTAATAGCTTCTAAACGTTTTCTTCTTTCCATTATTGGCCATTCCATAATATACAAATACATATATCCACTTTTTTCAAACAGTGTAAATTCGTGAAATCGTAGGCTTCCACGGCCAGAGTCAGAATTATAGTTTATTCGTCTTCCGGGTTTGGACCGTGTCATTTGTGAGTGACCCAAAAGTGGGTTCATCTCGACGTTTCGCTACAATTGTATGTAGCTTCTTCAGGAGAACAAAGAAAAAGAAAAAGAAAACAAAAGAACAGGAAGATGGGTAGTTAGCAACGGTAACTCAGTTACTCAACGCAACCAGAGGCGAATACTAACTACCAAGATGGGCATTTGGTCAGAGTAACTCAACTACTCAACGCAGCCAGAGGTGAAAACCAAATGCAAGGACAGGGATTCACGTCCAACAGCTCAGAACACTAACGCGTCGAGAGGCGGGGAGTGAATCCCTGCTCACTCCCCGCTCCCCCCGCAATCCCGGGGATTCACTCCCCGCCTCTCGACGCGTTAGTGTTCTGAGCTGTTGGACGTGAATCCCTGTCCTGGCATTTGGTTTTCACCTCTGGCTGCGTTGAGTAGTTGAGTTACTGTGACCAAATGCCCATCTTGGTAGTTAGTATTCGCCTCTGGTTGCGTTGAGTAACTGAGTTACCGTTGCTAACTACCCATCTTCCTGTTCTTTTGTTTTCTTTTTTCTTTTTCTTTGTTCTCCTGAAGAAGCTACATACAATTGTAGCGAAACGTCGAGATGAACCCACTTTTGGGTCACTCACAAATGACACGGTCCAAACCCGGAGACGAAATAAACTATAAAATGTAATTCGTGTTAAATTTTTAGTTGAAGTATTTCCTACTGTACATTGTTTTTTTTTGTGTAATTTGCCTTTAACCGTTGCCTGTAGTGTTTTTTTTTTAACAAAAGTCGCTATGAAGGGCACCTTATCAAGAAGCGTGTGCACATGTTCAATCCTTTTGTACCATCAATAGTGTTTTCCTTCCAATAGTGTTTTCAGTGAAAATGGTTAGGAAATTGAATGAATGAACGAAGTAGGAAATTGTCAGATATACATTTAACGGAAGTATAAAAGTTAAAAATCCACAAGGAATCTACGTTCCTGTAGTTGGCTGTATACCATATATTAAAAAAAACTTATTAAAAATCCTTTGTAAAAGGTATATATTTAAAACCCTAACGGCTAATTAAACAAAACGTTTTCGGAATCCATATTCCATCATCAGTGTCTAGGAGTACATGAATGTAGCCACTAAATATATGGGTAAAAACCCGTTAACAAATAATGAATTACATTTAGTTTACAATATTTCTTATAATATGTTGAGATGTTAAAGTTACCGTTGGATTAGGTAACATGGCGAGGTTGGACAAGGTAACCTGTAAGGTAAGTCGCTGTGTTTTAATGAACGTTACGACATCTGGTTCATTAAAGAGTTGGCATAATTAGTCATAAAAATTTTTGCGCCACTGTCTTTGATCTTTTATCATAGATATATAGTGAGTGTATAAAACATGTTTTAAAAATATAGTAAGTTTCCTAAATATTTGCTGATAATATTATTATCTACCTATAATAATTATTTATATAATTTGTATTTGTTTTTAACTATCTAATTATTATGCATTTTCATTTATTTCTGGTATATATACACAACTAAAATATTCTCATTAATAATCTTACAAAATATTTTTTTGTTTTTCGTAATACCGCAGTGAAACTGATGCTCTTTCTTAATAAACATATTTTCGTTGATTTTCGCTGATATCAATAATAAGGGAATGCACAGTTTAGTTTTCTTAAACTATAAATATCAGCATCCTAATCAATAGATTATTTATCTTGCATTTTTTTCTAAACTGTTTAGAGAAGGTATATTTTGTATGAAAATATTTTGAAAATTCATATATGGGTAAACAACTAAATTCTTTGAAAATATACCAAATTAAAAATATTTACAGAAAACAAAGGCAGTTTTAAATTTGTTCTTCTGTCCGTGCATCTTGCAGATACGTAGTGGTTATAAATGCTGATGTTCTTCCAGAGTTCCGTTCTCTGGAAGAATCCTTCTGTATTTCAAATTTGTTGTACTTAAATTGCGAAGTTTGCATCTAGTAATTTGTTCGAAGTATTAATTAAAGGAAAAAGAAGAATATGCGTTCTTTTCGTATTGCTTCTGTTATCTAAATCATTAATGTACATAACCCTTTCATAATATCTGTAAATATGACTGTCTCGTCCGCATATTCGACGTTGAGTTTGTTAACGTTCAGAAGAATTCCATTAATTAGCTCTTCTACGTTTGAAAATTTCTCTGAAGTATTAATTAAATAAAAAAGGGGAGAATATGCATCCGTTTCATACTCAGCGTTCTATTGATACGAAACATGTCAATTGGTTATCTTTTTTCATATTCGCAATTTGATTTTTAATAACTCTCCTAACTTTTATCATCTCTACCAACTTCTTTCATTATAAACATCAATTTGTCATACCTAATTATATCTCATAATATTGGTGCCTTCTACATTTCAATGTCATAGGCTAATTTAGTTATTTCGTCTTTCCTATGTATGCTTTCCTATGATTTCCTAAGGTATATCCACTACACCTTGCAATATCATCACTACTTGGTCGAGGACTACTTATTCAATATATTCGCAGCTAACCTTTATATCTAAAGGCCACACACTATCCGTCACCTGTGACCCCATTGATAGTTAGGCAGCTGGCAGTAGTAGGCTTTAGAATAATGAAAAGATCCCTAGCGACTGGAAAACTGGATTATATGCCCAATATATAAAAAAGTATAAACTAAAAATGCAAAAATTATCGCGGCATAACCGTCTTGTGCACGGCGTACAAAGTTTTTACTTACTTACTAAACAAACGACTACAATAATTAACTGGCAACATTACCGGTTTTCGACAAGAAAGATCTATAACCTATCAGTTATTCACAGTGAAACAAATTCTAAACAAATCGTGGGAATACGACATTGACGTCCCGAATATATTTATAGATTTCAAACAGGTATACAATTCAATTAATAGACAAACGTTATATCGAACATTGCATAGCTTTAACATCCCTCAAAATATATTCGACTAGTAAAATTAACAATGGACTCATCAACAGCAACTGTCAGAGTACAAAATGAGGTTACTGAGAACTTTTAATAGTCAAGGATTAAAGCAAGGAGACAGGCTGGCACCGACACTATTTACCCTGACTCCCGAATGTGTGCTAAGACAACTAAATATAGGACGAGGACGTAATCTCCTAACAATTAAATCAATATAGATTGCCGCCTATGCCGCTAACATTAGCATTATGTCTCGCAGAATAGAAGAGTTGGTAGAAATATATTTACAATTAAAAACAAAAAACAGGGGCAGAAGAGACTAGGCTAGAAAGAAATATTTAAAAGACAAAAAAGCTGACAAAGACAAGAGCTATTGGAAACATACGCACAGTTGAAATAGAAGACGATATTAAAATTGTAAAAAGTTTTACATATCTGGGAGTTCTATTAAACGCGGATGGAAGAAAAGAACCAAAAATTCAAAGAAAAATAGTAAAGAGAACCAAATCTTTTTTCTTGCCCGTATGTTCCGCTCCAAAACACACGTTGTAAATCAAAAATGAAGGTCTACAAAATTATTATTAGACCGATAGTATGTTATGAATACGAGACATAAGTGATGACAGAAGAAACAAAACGAAAGGTGGAAGTCTTCGAAAGAAAAGTCCTAACGAAGATATTTTTACCTGTTAACGAAAACGGAGTATGGAGATCCAGGTACAACCATAAACTTCTACCAATTGTTCCCTATTGCCACCGGATCAGTTATGAAGGGACCTACATCGTTTCTACTAAAAAGGTATAACGTGCTGTTTAAAACAGGTCCTTTTGCTCGATAGAACAAATAATTTATATGTAAGAATGCTTTTATGTTGGTTGTTACTTTTAAAATCGATCTAGTAGAAAAAAATCCAAAATTGAAAACCAACAATATGTTGGAAGTACTTATTGTCCACCAACTGATTTTCCGTCCATATTTTCATGGTTTTTGCATATTTCTTGCAGTTATTACATCTTTTAACTTCAGTAGTAACTGCTCAAAAGGAATTCCCTATAACGTCTTTTGCGACCACTTTTTCATAGCCGTTTATGATTTATGATAGAAGTAACTGAAATACTTTGATTTTTCCGCATATTTTGTAATCTGGTTTAATAATTCGCTTATTTTTTTTTGTTACAGATGGAACTCAATTATAGACTCTTGGTCATAGCAGTAATTATAAGCGCAATGCATTTTCAGATAGCTCATTTGCAACGTGATAATATACAGGGCCAAAAGTATTGCGGCAGTCAGATTGGAAAGGCGCTATCCACAATATGTAAGGGAAACTACAACACCCTCAAACGAATGGACAGTAAGTGTCATATTTTTATTATATACACAATTTGTCAAGTCTTCAGAAATTAGAGGTCGTTTTTTATTCTTAATTTATTAGTATTTAACTGTTATTTAATATCTGAAAAAAAAAGACACTTGGAATCCAAATAAACGTTTTATTACTATAAAGCCATAATACAATTAATTATCCTTTTTACCTGTTGATTTGCTTTGGATGTGCAATGACGGATATTTATTCGCTTCCATAAAAAGATTTCTTATTTCGAAATCACCACAAATTTTAAAACCGGCATTCTTTTTCATAATCTACAGTATGGGGACAAACAGAAATCCTCCATTGTGGAAAACTCTACTGCAGAGATTTTGATCAGGTTCCCCTGGACAATTTTGTTTAATTCCACCTCTAATTAGCTCCTTAGTGAAAAAAGAACACCTCTAAATTTAAAAAATCTGTAATTTGTTTAGCTGTACAGACCAATTCGAGCCTTTTAACATTACTCTAGTCGTCAGAGTTGAAAATACTACTAAATCTGTAAAAATCATACGAACAAGCTGAATTTTGCTGAGAATGTGATTTTTGAGATCCCAAAACAGATTCAAAAAGGTTGCCACCCTTACCTCCTAAAACTCCGAAGGGAGGGGGGAGACAGAAAATATCGATTTACTAAGATTAACAGTTTTTTCTGTAGAATTATTATTTCTTCTGTAGAATCAGCTTGTTTATATAATTTTTAGAGGTTCAGTGGCATTTTCGTCTCTGACCTCTGTAGTATTAATTACAATTTAAATATTAAGTTTCTTTCACTCAACGCAAAAATATTTAACATTGTATTAATTTGTTTTAGGGTTTCCACGTCCTGCACAATGGGATGGCATGTATGGTGACATGCCCATGCCCGACGAAAGCGATTTGGGCTTTCCCTACCAAAGTAAAGAACAAGCGTCAACACTTATGGGAGGAAAGAGGAGGAAAAAGCGATGGGGAGTATACAACGAATGTTGCGAAAAGTCCTGTACCCAAGAAGAACTGTCGTCCTATTGTGCCGAAGGCAAGAGGAGATAAAACTCGAGAAATGCAAACATTGTGATAATACATTAAAATTTAGTATTAAGTTGAAAACTTAATATAAAAACCGGTTACTGGTTCTTGAACTGTGAAGGAATCGGCAAGATTGTAAGTTTTTTTCTATGAAAAATGTTAGAAAGCTACCGTCCAAGTAACGTTTACGTTCCTATAAATTAAAGCAGAGGATTTTTTTGAAGAAAAGTGTTAAAAGATTTATTTTTAATTGTAAGATACTAGATAAAGTTCTCATTTATTTGAGGATTTTGTCTTTTCGAAAAAAAGGTTCTTGTGATAATAATTAGCATTGCATAGGCCATACTGTTTTGTTTTAATTTTTAGTTTCTATCGTTGCTTCAAATTTCTTCAAATCGAAGACATATTTATTTTTGATAAGATAGCCATTTTTTATATCATTAGATGTATTTTTTGGTTTCTATGTCTAAAATGCAGCTACACATTGTTTATCTTTTCAAAAGTTGTTTATCTGTGGCATCATATTTTTAAATATTTCTGTATAATTAGAGAAGTTAAATATATAATAGATATAAAACATCATTCGACATTATTTGGTGCCTCTTTTCTACAGCATTCTCGGTTATTCTATAGGCCAAGATTCTTACAACTCATCGCTTTTGATATTCCCTTTCGCGTACTTTCATTGGCCGTATTCATTTCATGAGTTTCGGTGATATACATTTGTAAATTCTTTGTACGTGAGCATATTAATTATCTTCTTTTTGTATCTATTATAGATTGTAGCATAAGTCTGGTTTAGATTCACACACCTTTCATTATATTGCGACCAAGATCTTCAATGTATCCTCACCACACTCAATCAACACAAATTAAGAAGAAATGTGTTGGTATTGTGAAATAAAGCCACAATAGAAACTTTATTAGTGAAAACCATAAAAAAAATATATTATATTTCATGAAATTTATATTTTTATATGGCCTAGCTTAAAATCTACAGAGTTAAAACCTCTGCGTAAGTGGATGTGTTCTAAAAAAATTAGAAAATTTTTATTAGTGTTATATATGGATCCTAGGAACGATAATAATTAGAGCTTATTATCAGTTCCAAAACTTCACCGATATTCTTTAAGATTTTTAAGGTTTCATCAAACTTTTATTTACAGCACTAACAAATTTTCTAAAAAATATTCTGTACTATAATGCTTTCTGTTCCTATCAAGTATACATACACTAATTTAGCAATAGATCAATTATCAGGACAAGTATACTCGTCATTGAATATTTACATATAAATGTATGATTAAAACTGTAACTGGGTTGTGCAGTTAGGAGTTATATATTAATAACTCATTTTTCTTAAAGGTGGAAATCATATATATCTTTAATTGAACGGTGATCTTAATTTTCATTGATTTTAAGACTCTAATCTTTTAGGTAAACAATAATTACATATTTTTATATTATTGTTAAAAGAAATCGCTTATAGTTACCCCCTGATTATTTTTATTCTATTATGTCCCATACTAGTCTAAGAGCCAAGGGGAAGGTTGACTATGCACTTTTTGGTGCATAACTCACCTTTCATACGTGCGATTATCTTTTAAAACCCCTTAATTTCAAAGGTTAGTGTTTCAGCTTTAAAAAAAAATTATTTTATCTTTGTTAATAAAAAAGTTACAATTCAGCATTAAAAATTTTTCTAAAAGGTTGCGAATTTATTTGTTTTAATTTAAACAAAATTAAGCTATAAACTTTAAAAATCTGTCTAATGGAAGTTTATAGAACAATTTAAAACTAAAATTTTAAGCTATGGTAAATGTTTCCATGGTAATTTTTAACAAAGATATGAAACTTTTAAATTCAGGGATGCATATTATTTTAGTTATAGCAGTTTATAGTTAAAATTGTCGTTAAAAAGTGGTACATTAATTTGTTTATAAGAGTTTTAAATAAAACTGAGTAGTAAACGTTGGCAGTTTGGTTAAAAGAAGTTATAGAACAATTCAAAACTAATATTTTAAGCTTTGGTAAAAGTTTCTATGATATTTTTTTGCAGAGATATTGAAAATTGTTTAGCGCGCGCGGCAGCATTCGATGAGAACTGACCGTGCGCTTTAGAGCACGTTAATAAAAGTTACATATCTTGGTCAAAAATTAACATAGAAACATTTATCAAAGCTAAAATGTTCGTTTTGAGTTGGTCTATAACTTCCATTAGGCAGTTTGTTAAAGTTTGTAGCTTCATTTTGTTTAAATCCCTTATAAACAAATTCATTTTGATTTATGTCTTATAAACGAATTAATTAAAACGAAATAGAACACTTTAAAATACGTCAAAGTACTAAGGGAACATAAAGTCTCAACACCCTCTGGCTCATAGACTCTACAGATAATCATACCCTATTTACTTTTATCCATATTTTTTTTACGTTATGAAAAAAGCATAACCAGTAATGAGGAGTTCCCAGAACTAACAGTCACAGCGATTAAACAAGCTATCGGAATCGGAAAATCCGGTAAAGCAACTGATGAAAATATACGTCAATGCTGACAGATTTTTAAAACAGCGTTTATAAAGCAAAATAAAAAAACGCTTACAACAACAAGAAACAAGGAAAAAGGCTGGATTACATAAAAATAAGAGAGAACAAAACAAAGCGAACTATTGAGAAACGTAAGGAAATAAACGATTTGCAAAGTAAATATAATATGTTTTAAGTTAAAACATATTTAGCCATACGACTCACTCTCCATCTAAAGGGGAAATTCACTTATCCCAGATACCTACGGTATCAAAAGGATCAAGCTGCGGTGGGACTCTTTCTGTGTTATCGAGCCCTAGGTAACTTAGTATGCTGAAGTATCTCCCAAAACTTTTCGTACACATCTGGACATCGCGAGTATAGCTTTCTGTATAAGATAATGCAATCTCTCATGAATGAACATCTCTATCATTTACACCCAATTGTTTTATGTTCTTTATAAGGTTTTTGGAAATAACACCAGTAGTAGATAGCATAATAGGTACTGTCTGGATACTTTCCATTCTCCATTGTCTCCTAATTTATATTTCTAGATCTCTGTACTTGGCGATTTTTTCGTTGTATTTAACATGCATTATTTATTTATTGTATGGCAATTAGAACACATTTAGAACAAAATTACAAACACTAGTAATATAGGTAATATGACAAACTTTAAATAGTTACAAACAAAGATCAAGTGTATTAACATAATCAATTGACTCTGAAGCTGCAAACAGGAAGTCTTCAGGGCTACCATTATAGGATCTTGAAGGACACTCTTCAATAATGTGGTCGATCGTTTGGTTCTTCCCACAGTCACATTGAGGAGACGGATTCTTTCCCTACCGATTTAACTTGCAAATTATTGGTGTTAGGTATCGCCATATCAATAAGTGTTGTGTGCCTAGTAATTTTATTAAGTAGTAACAGATCCGGTCTATTAGTTGGTCTGTGAGTACAGTGATGTCCCAGTATAGCTTGTAGTTGTCATTTTCAGCATTCTGTCAGGAAGAGCATTTGTCATTTTGGACTTGAGGATCTTTAACAATATATTTCAGGTAATTTTTAGTTGGAATAACCTGATCTTGAATGGCAAGTTGAAAGCTCTCAGTCTCGAGAAACATCTTTCCTGATGCTAAACAATAGTTCGACGCCGTATTGTCGACATATTCTTGGTTGATCTCATTGACATGTCGCTCACATAGAAGTTTACTTATACAGGTGCGCATTTTTTCTTGCTTAGTCAGGTGATTTATGCGCATTTCTTGTTCCCTCAGTTTAAGCGGCGTTGTATCATCTACTGCACAAATTGCTCGATGAGGAGTAGATGTCTCAGCCTGCACCTGAAAATAAATTCTTAAATTAGCAACCTGTTTATCCAGTTTTCACCTATGTCTTTAAGTCCTCTTCCCCCTTGATATCGCGGTAATGTTGTTCTCTCTACCGACTGCGTGTAGGGTGTTTTTGCGTCTTTGTGAGAAGAGTTCTTACTTTCTGCTGAAGACTCTCTATATTTATTTTTGACCACTTTATAATACCAAATGAGTACCTCAGCGCGGAACAGGTACGTATTTAATGTCTTAAACAAATTTTTACTATTAAGATATGACCGATTATTATTATTATTGTCTAATATTATTCTGGTTTCTAATTCTTATATGTTTATAACTAAATAATACAACTAAAATCTATCAAACGTCATGACTTTTTAAAAACCCACTTATTTTTATGTTTCTCTCAGTAAGTTTCAAGCTTTTTTTATCTGAAATAGAGCAAGAAAATATTTTGACGAGTATACAATGTCTTCTACAATTAAAGGGCTAGAATTTTGTTAGTTAACTATATTTTAAAACTGCATATAGAAGGTGTTTTCCGTAGTTGTAAATAGCATTCAACAGCTTGATTATACTAAACATTTCTAGTCTGTGTTACTACTATTGACAAAATTAGGAAGTTTTTTATTTTTATACAGCAAGACACTGCTAATCTTTTTTTGTGATATAAGTGTTGTAGCAAAGTCTAGTTATACGAAATTATTTGTCTGGTTTCTATTTGCGTTCTTTATCTAAAGTAAATTTATCGAATGTCAACATTAGCGTTCCTAAAGTAAAAAAGCGCTATGGTAAAGTTTATTTGGAAACTAGAATGTAATTTGTAAACAACACGGTAATTATTATTTATTGCGACAGATACTATATCTTTGGTAAAAATGGGTTACTTTGAATAATTTTAAGTTTGTTTTAGATTAAATTAACTAATGATAATGGGTTAATCTTAACGTACTATGAAAAATAAGCAAGAATAATTTATTAAAATTTAAACTAGGAGAAGGGAGGATATATAATATATAGAAGTGCCAACATAATTTGATAACGCAAAAAAAATATTAATTTTATACATTCTTTATAGTCAGCATCTCTATTATTTTCTAAACCCTAAAACTGCGTTAACAAATTTTTGCTTACTAAACTATATCTTTAAATTCGTTTTATGTTG